CCAGCAAAACGCAGATTTTATGGAAGGAGTACAAGAGATGGACGAGGAGGAAGATCACGTTTGTTACTCATCGAATCCTGATGCAAGAACGCCAAGAGAAGAAGCCGAATGGAGACTCACGCAAGAAATTAAACAGACCGAGGACGAGATAAGAGACCTAGAAGCGGTCCTATACGAACTAGACATGGAAGCAACATGCGATCCCCGAGACTTTATGAAGGGTCTCATACGCAAAAGGAGTGATATGACGCTTCCCTGCTCTTTCTGTGGCAGAGTGGGGCACCACTATTCTGATTCTTGCGCTGAATATTCCAACTTTTGGGACAGACGTTATATTGCTAACGCACAGAGTCTCTGTACAATCTGTCTCCAGTTTTATACCGCAGGACACATTTGCAAGAGGATCGTAGCTTGTTTTCATTGCAACAAGTTCACCCATCACTCGGCTTTGTGTGAACTCCCGGAGAGAAGCGAAGAAATTCGTCGCCGGTACGACGAAACTACGATGAAGAGGAGGATTGCAAAGAAGAAATTGGAGGAGTTAAGGCGTCGTCTCCAGGATTTTGAAGAGAAGTAATCTATGCTAATAATGTATTGTTAACCTGTTGTGTTATAAGTTGAGTTTGTTCCATTACGAGTTCTATTGCATCGCAATACAACTTCGTTTTTATCCATCGTATTATGAGTTTTGAGCCGCGCCTGGGAGTATTGCAACTTTATTGCAATTATTTTCAGCTCCAAGTCAAGACGAGTTAAGAATTCGCAGGTCAATGTATAACAAATGATACCCTATCAAGCAAAAAGATTACGTATCAAAAAGTGATGATGGAAAGATAAAGACGAGTAGGGTTCAGTTGATTGTTGTGGTACATATACTGCGGTCTACGGTTCGATAAACTGTGTCGACTATCCTTGTATCCACTGAACGACTAAAGGCCTCATTGCATGTGTCTTTCGGTATCCTTTTCACCGCAACAGCTCCTTCTAAGTGCGTCCCATATTTCATTTTAGTTACATTAACAGTGAAATAACATGCAAAAGTTGCTTTTAGCCTCAAATTTTACACATCAGTGTAGTTTTTAGTCACCCTGAACAGTTTTACATAATTTTGAATTTCAGTGGAGATTCATCCGTTTCCAGCAGTGAAAATGCTTTACAAGGTGTTTGACGCACAGAGCGCAGCGACGTGAGTATTTAAATTTTTACAATTTTTTTCCAGACCAGATCAAATGATATGCGAAGGCGAGATATTAGGAGAAATATGTGTATGGGTTTGGTCACTGTACTTGATTCACTGTTAGCGATTTATTTACACGTATGAGGGGAAGCTTTCATCCATCCTTTCCTTTCTTCATGTGTCAGACTTTGTGATTGCAAACGCGAGTCCTAGCTAGGAGTCTGGTATTCCGTTATTTATCCTTCCGGTCAAGTGTTAGAGGATCTGGGGTTTCTCTTGTATTTGTCTGGAAGAATAAACGGATTTGAGGGGAGGGGGAGAGTAAGGGCTCTCAGCGAGGTGGTATAGCGAAACTTGCACATTATAGCTTTTCACGCATGCCAAGCGACTTGCCCTGCCCCCACTCCACTACTGCATACAATCCTTAACGCATTCCTCTCTTTGCACTAAAGGGCGAACATGCCGTGCACGTCGCGCCGGCGATCTCCTCCCCCCCCCCACCCACTTCACCAACCTTGGCTCCGAACTGAACATTTAGACATTATAGATCATCAGGAAGATTCAGTGTACTCGAAGAATTTTTGCGATAAGGAAATGTGAGACTACGCGGGACATATTGTAGGAGTTAATCGGAGTGGGCCACCTTGCCCTCATTTACCTCACAACGATAGTTCTTCACTGGATGAATAGGTTTTTTTTTCAGCGATCCCCGTGCGAATGGTGAGGATGCCAGCGTTGGCTTGGTCGACGTACCGTTGGGATGTTGCATGAAACTCACTGAACATCTGCTACTGAGCAGTTATTCGTTGCCACTCCCTTGTAGATCGGTGGGACAATTCTACGTCGGTTTTTTGAAACTCGCTGATTCCGTATAATAATTCCCTCATGACCCTTCTGATTTCAACTAGACATTTCTTTTCCTCAAAAATTTCACTTCCAATGTTTGATAAATAATTAGGTCAACTTTCATAGTCTATATTGATTTGCCGTCGAATTTTACCTCTGGTCAAGCCTTTTGGGAATATCCTTTGTATCTGCTTTGTTGATACGGTCTTCTTCTTTATCGGTCTATAATGAGCTACACCCTGCGCTGGGTTGATTCAATATGTCTAAGTTTAAACGACCTTGCTAGCAACTTCTTGGTTACCACATAAGCTGCTAGCTGCAAGTTTGATGAGAATGGATCCAGAAGTATTGTCTACTGTTGCGATATGTACTGATGGTTATATGTATATTACGTGTGTATAAGCCATTATAAAATTTGTGAAAGTGATTTTTTTGTGATTTTATATAACCTATATCGTTGGTGTATCTTCGCTATTTTTCCGGTCTGTTTAATCAGCTGAACTTCACGCAGTGACGTTCGCGCAGTTTCAACACACATGATATTTATTTTATTTGTTTTGGTTACAAATGCAACAGACACGAAGAATTTCGTGAATTAATGAACAGCTGTAAATCTGTTGAAGTTGGAGACCAGTCGCGGGTATCATAAATTCCTGAGAAGAGCAAAAGCATTGGTAAATTGGTTGCAGAAATTCGTGCACAGAAGCATGCTTGATGATGCACGAATTCAAAATTTGTTTTTATATCATAATGTTGAGATGTGTGAGAACTCTTGTTGTCTCTGTTGTCAGGCTGGACTTGAACCATGAAAGCGCGACAATTGTGGGTGCGCTTGCTTCAGTCTCGTGGTTTTGTGGTGTGTGTTTTTGTGTCGGGTGATCGTTGTATTTTATGTTTGTACTGTTTTGTACCCACGTTTAACACTCGTCTTTTTTTTTCTCGTGTACATCACCATAACCAATGGTTACTGTGTTATTGTTGTATTTGGTTGCGTGTGTTTCCTGGATACAGTTAACCTCTACGAAACTGGAATATTGTGTGAAAGGGGTCTATTTCCGGCTTGTTATCGGGACGTGGTTCACGTGTGTGAGGACACGAGCGTACGTCTGTCGCGCGCGCGCGTCTTCGCTCGGTTACCGCTCCCAACAACGCATTATTTTCGTTTGCCGGCAAATGCAGGTCCCGCTCACTTATTCAGCGATGAGAACCTGAGGTGGCGCTTGCAATAAAAAGTGTGTTCGGCGGGGCAGAGTGGAAACGCGGAAAAAGGCGTCGCTTTCGTGTACCTAGTGAACACACCCTCGGATGCGGCGGAGGGATCAACCCCTGCGTGCGCACGTTTTCAAGCGGGCCCACGTTGCGCAGGGTTTTTGCGATTAGACACGTTTCTCTCGCGGGCGAACCGATTCACAATCAGCCATGCTTCGAGCCCGTCTGTGTCTGTCGCGGCCCGATACTGGCTTAGCGTGAGGATCGGTCTCAAGCGTGGACGCTTGCGCACTGTCGGCAACGCTAGGGTTGGACTCTTGGGGCTCATGGGGGCCTCTTATTGTCTGCTTCATTTTCTCATCTCGCACAAGCGTCAGTTGCTTGCTTATTTGCCCCGTGAAAGTCCCTGTGCTGTTTGGCACCTCCGGTGATTCCTTAAAGGCCAGGTGTGTTACATGGGTTGGCGAGCGTGCAGGTGCGGTCGCCCAGCCGTTACAAGACAATCGTAGTGCGCGATGATTAAGACTAAACGTCAGGCTTAGGCGTACGATTATACATTAACTCATACTTGCCAGGGCTAGGCTTACCATTAGTCCGAGTCGTAGGCTTGTTGCGAGGTAATCAGGCTATAGAGAGATGAATTGACCTAAGGAGAATAAGGATCACAAACGTCTTTGATGTATACCCCTTTCACTGCAAATGCGCCAATCGAGCAGAGCAATATGCGTCAGTCAAGCCTTGATGCATTCTCGACGTCGAGCTTTCTCTCAAGGGTTCTTGAAACAGCTCTTTCTTTTAGTTTTGTTCGACCAGGTTCTCATGAACAAAAGGAGTTTCACATTCACACCATGATCCTTAACGTAAAAAATTTTAAATTTATCGTTTTTGCTTCATTTTCTTAGAGGGACGCTGGTTACAACAGTAGCTGTTTCTAATTTTCCGCTAATGTGTTTGTATTTCTTCCGGAAACGAGAAAATTGGCTGTGAAAACAGCGTTCAAAATCAATTTTTTCTGTGCAAATTAGTGCTAGATTGCTTGCATGTGAACAGTGGCCACGTGGGATTTCAGGTCTAGAGTTCTTGGGATTTTTTATTCAAATCTTTGTGATCGCACTGGCGCTAAACAGCAGTTAACGAAAGCTCTGTTTGTTTCTCTACTTGCTCAAAATGTTTCGCAACATCTAATTATGTTTTTCGAAGGGGGAGGGGTAGGAAGGCATGTGGTGTAGCTCGTGCAGATTGCAGTGGGGTTTGCAAGGGGAGGTACTTTCGGCATGGTTTATCCACTTTCGCTTTCTCACCCACCACGGTGCTTGCTCTCCTGCAAAAATCAGGATTATTGCAGGAGAGGACCTTTTGCATCATATGTCCTCTCACACTTCTGTACGCAGGCATCAAATTGTTCTTGTTTTGCAGTTATGTATCACACTGCAAAATATGAGTATCAGGAGAAGGGAGAGAAATTTGTTACTAATTCATATGGACATCTGACTCTGCTTGAACATCTGGGTCGTTTTGCTCACAAATCGTTCTGTAGTTGATTCTGTTCGATATGAATGAACCTTCAGTATAGAATAGCTGGGGAACGAGGATTTATTATCGCGAATCTACATTCAAGAGGTTTTCCATTAGGGTTTTCATACTTTTTTTGTGCATTAGCGGTATATACTCGAATTCAGCCAGCACTTCTGTCCACATCCTGTAGTACTGACGTGCTTTCTTCCCTTTGTCAAAAATATTATTGTTCTGTAATTCCAGCTAGGGGACTATGCCACTGTTGTCTCTGTTGAAGGTCACGGTGCCCTCCGGCAGTAAGTTTTTAATTACCTTTTTTGGAAGGTTTGTCCCTGCGTGTTCGATGCAATGGCAACATTTCAGAAGCAATCTTGGGCAGTCCACTGGGCGATGGAATGGCGTATGGCATTATTAGAGCTCAGCAGCTACGATGTTTAGCAGTCCCTGGAGGAAAAGCAGTTTTCAAGGTGCTCTTTCGATTTAATGATAATTGTTCCCCTTTATTGATCACTTATTCTTTTATCGTATTTTTTTTCGAATTTGTCCGGTAAAATACAAAATAGGGCTGATGTAATCATACTCTTGTTACTAAGACAACTTGACAAAAGACGTATTGACATACTGAAAGAGAAATTTGTAGGATTAGTTAAACTTCGGCACTATTGCACTATTACAACCCACAGTAGGGGTGAGATGGGTCAAAAAATAATTTTCGCTGAAACTTCGGCTATGGGGGTTATCGAGGGTCCTGATCACGAATATGATATTCATTTTTGGCGCTGGCGCCATTTGGCGCCAGGTGGCGCCACAACTGATTCCCACTAAATTCGCTGTAAACTTCTGTATAGGGGTTATTCGGGGTCCTGATTACGATTCGTTTTTGTTGTTAGCGCTATTCGGCGCCTGCTTCCTGCTCGTCTGCGCCCTCGCACTAATTAGATCGCAATAGGACTAAGCCTTTGAATAGTGGAGGGCTCCAAAGTGAGTAGGCCACTCCCCTGTGGTCTGACACACTCCAACTTTTGCCACACGGTGCGTGGTTTACCCACTCCGGAGTTTCACTCCCCTCCGTAAGCATTACCTTAGTCTTAGCCG